GCCTCTCCTTCCTTGCCTATCCCTTCTGAAGAGTTTATAGCCATCCATTGCAGCACTCCAGTTGTGCGAGTCATCCCACCATGTTTCTATGGTGGCAATTATATCATAGTTTTCCTGCTGCACAATGGCTTCCAGCTCCTCCTGTTTGTTGCCCACACTGCATGCATTGGTCTAGATGCACTTCAGTTGGGCTATTGATCCCGCCACCTTTTGGGGGGAGAAACCCTAATTCCTACGTGACCGTTCTTGGGTGCTTCCGTGGTTTCTAACACATCCATAACCCTTGTGTCTTTGCTCCCGCATGGATCTCCATCCCCTAGCTCCACTGAGATGGGCAGACCGAAGGACCTCGCAAGCACACTGTCCCTCAAACATTGGCATGCCCCCCCCAGGCTTATCTCTAGTGAGCCTGGTTTTATCCCTTTCCCCCTTCAAATCTAAGTGTAAAGCTCTTTCGAAGAAAGAGCCCTGCTAACTCCTGTGCAAAGATCCTTTTCCCCCTTTGAGACAGGTGTACCCCGTCTGTCACCAGCAGGCCTGGTGTCGCGTAGACCAACCCATGATCAAAAAACACACAACATGGATTTACTCCGCTCCCATTCTCCTTTGTTTTCCTGAAAGTGAATGTAAAGCGAGCAGGCATCCACAGACACCCCCAGGAAACACGACCTGCCTGTTCAGCTGCAGGGACAGCGCTCCCACAGGAGCCCTCGGCTCCCGGCCCGGGGTGTCCCCTCGGGTGGCAGAGCTTGGTCTCCAGCTCTGGTTGGCTGGGTGCTTGCAGTAGCCAACACACCTCTTGGGATTGCACCAAAGGGGTCAGATCTTTATGGAACAAAGTCTCTTTGCAGGGCTGCTCACTGGTGGTGCATTGCAGAGTGCAGGTATTCCCCCGGTCGAGGGGCTCCGCAGCCTGTCCCACGCTGCCGGGCTGATCTCCCGCTGATCCCGGAGACACATGGGAACCATCGTGTGCTGTGAGGAGGAGGAACAGCCTGCAGTCCAAAAGTCAGTGATAGTCCAGCGTGTTGCAAGCACCAAGCAGAAGTTAAGAGGTTGCTCTGCACGTTTCTCCATTAGTTGTTGCTTCCCACCTCCTGCTTGTGCTGGAAGTGATTTCTGCAAAGCGTGGATGGAGAGAGAACTGAAAAAGGACCCATCTAAATTAATATTAGTGCAATTGCTTTAAGAGTGCACTAGGGGACAGAAAGAAAAAGCAGGTTAAAAGGGAAATACAGCAAATACTTGGAAACCTTCTAAAGGGCAGCTCAGGAATGGCACTAACAATGCCTGCCAAAAAGCACCAACATTAAGCACACTTTGGGACGAGAACACCCCATCTTTAGAAACTGCGGCATTATTTTCTAGTACAAAGGATGATGAAAAGGTATAATTTATAGTAAATTATCATGTGGATAATGGATATGGAATTTGAAGGATGTGAAAGGTGAATCATGTTTTGTAGCATAGCTTTGGTAACCGAGCATTGTGAAGACTACTGCTGGAAAAGTACCCGTGGTACAGATCAGAAGTTCATGTACCACCAGACCTGCACAGTTGCAAAGTTGTTTCCACACTTCACAAATTCAAAGCAAACATGGTGAAGAGAAGTTTGGTGCCGACTGCGGGACAGAGGCGAGGGCCGGCGCTCATGTCTGGGCACGTGGGCGCTCCTCAGGCAAAGGGCAGAGCCAGGTCTGCGGCTGGTGCTGCAGGACCGTGTCCTGGTTGGGAAGCCATTAATAGTTTAGTCTGAAATAATTAACAGGGCTGTGCACAGCTGCCTAGCCATAATGAGTCCATGACAATGCAATTTATTAGAGTGATGTATTACATGGTAACGGTAATGAGAAATGGAAGGACCTAATTTTGTAAGACTTAGATCAATTCAGTTGTTTTTTTATAAATGAACATTGTTTTACTAACCACAGAAGATCATTAAAATTATTATTTTATTAGTACTTTTCAAAACTATTTGAATTATAGCTGCTTTTTTCAAAATCCAAATAGGAGCATGTGAACGTGTTTCTGAAAGACAGATGTTGTTGCAATGTAAAAATGTCATTGGCATTTGTAAATGTCTTGATAAGGGGGTGGGTTGGAGTGGGGGAAAAGGTTTGAATCCCTCTATAAGTAGGAGGTTTATTCCTGTAAGTAAGCAAGTTTTTTCCTGAGTAAGAATTCGTTTCCTATTGGACGACTTCTGCCTTTCTCTCCACTCCGCGAGGTTGTGATCCCCTAAAGAAAGTTTGCTTCTACCCTACCAGCTCTGCTGGTCGGGGCAGGCTGGTGCCGGCGTCTCTGCGTGCGCAGCCGCACAGCCGGCGTGGGTGGGGGCGAGGGGGGGGGCGGGAGTGCAGCAGCCCCGCCGGGCAGTGCAGCCCCTCGCTGCCGGCGCGGGGCTCCTTCCTCCTCGGGTTCTCGTCTCCGTAACCGGAGCCTTTCTCTGGGGCAGCCCATCTCCCGCAGCGCTGCAGTTTACTGACACGGGAGATTTCTCAGACACTTGTGATAAAATATTCAGAGCTTCCTGACAGTGGGGGAAGTTATGGGTAAGAGAGGGGTCCCACAAAGCTCCCAAGGGACTTTTGCCAGGACCTCCGCACCTTTGAAGTTGTAACCCAAACCCAGACTTGGTGGAGGTGACAGCTCTGAGTATTCGCCAGGGACATAACAAACACCAGAGGTGAGACTTATTGCCTGGATGGAAAATCGAGCTGAAGTTGCTGTTGTTGGGGAGCTAAGCCAACAGTCCTGAGCCCCTGAGCATCCCTCAGTGATGAGGTCCTCTTCTGCTGCCTAAGGAGCTGCATATAGGGATGAGGAACGAAGAGTCCTTTGCTGGATCAAGTGAGATTTGGATGAAAAAGGATGGAAAGCATCTTTTCTTTTAAGCCAACCCTAGCTTACACTGTGCTGAAATAAGCTAAGCATGCACAAAAATGAGCGCTGTGGTGTCTTGGCCCTGAGACAGTAATAAAAGCTCACAGCAATAACTTTTTGGGACAATCCAGCAAGATCTGAGTTTCAGCCTCACTTTGTGCTAGCCTAGTGCATTTCTCCAGGGAAAACAGGAGAGAAAGAGTAGAGGAAAAGACACTTAAAAAAACCCCTTAGGCTAAAATTGTGTGATTGCACTGCCTGAAGTCATTGAGTTTCCTGGTTGAAGAGGTCAGGAGAAAACCACAAGAAAGAGTCGCGGAGATGGGGCTGTAGGGCTTCCACCGCAAGTCCTTGTTGCGTCACCCACGCACGTGTCATTGTGTAACGTGTCGTTGTGTGACTCCAGCACGTGACTCAGCTGGAGTCCACGGTACCCGGCGAGGTTGGTCCATGCCTCAACCAGGTGTTTGCCATGGAGCAGCTGAGCACCTGGGTCCCCCGGCACTTGCAGTTGGACACGGCCCGGGGACCTCCAGGCTGTGTCCCACATTGCAGCGTGCCCTTGGTGCACGGCAGTGGGGCTCTCTGGGGCCGAACCGGGGCAGAGGACGTGTCCCAGGAGGGCTGCTGATGCTTTGCACCACTAAGACCAGGGGCCAGACTGGAGCTACTGTGAAGTAACCCCCCCCAAACGCACATTAGTGCCAGGTCCTCAGCGCAAGCTGTTTCACTTTGCTGAACTGATCTGCTCCTGCTGGGCTGCAATACTTGCGAACATAAAAATAGATGGAGGTGACAGGGAGGAAGGCTCGAGTGTCAGTGGGTCCCTGGGAGAGCAGGTGTCCATGTCAGGCAGATTCCTCGGCGGGGCGGAGAAGGGCGCGTGTGCGTGCACGTGGGTGCGGGGGTGAAGCCCGATCTTTTCCTTCCAGCCTGTTTTGGTTGGGCCGGATGGGACTGACCTCTGGTGCAAGCAAAAGCTTAAATGGGTGAGAAGGAATTGGATTTTGGAACATATTAGGTCACTCATTCAGTTGGAGAGCAGCGTGTGTCAGAGGTCCAACAATTTGTTTTTAGAAGGGTTTTAAGCATTAATGATTCAAGATGTTTTCCTGGGAGTGGTTTGCAACATGAGACTCAGTGGCCAGCATAGCGTTGAGGTTTTATGGGATTAGTCAATTCACTAAGGCTGAAAGGTCTCTAGTAACACAATAGTTAAATTTGTACTTTTCCACATGGCTGAGCCTTCAAGGAGCTCACCAGGAGCGTAAAAAATGTAAACAGCATTGTAAGCTTTGTGCCAGCCATGAGGCAGGGAGGGGGTTTCCGTGTGGATTAGTTCTATCACCTACTTTTTTTCTTTTTCTTTCTTTTTTTTTTTCCAGAGTTGCAAATAATCACAAGCAGAACCTGATGACTGTTGCTAATCTGGGTGTGGTATTTGGGCCAACACTGCTTCGACCTCAAGAGGAAACAGTTGCTGCCATTATGGACATCAAATTTCAGAACATCGTGATTGAAATTTTAATAGAAAATCATGAGAAGGTAATGGCTTCACTTGCTTCTTTCAGTGCAATTAATTTATGAGAACGAATTTGTCTCTCTTTACAAACTGCAGCCCCCTCTCCCAGGGCCCCCTTTGCTCCCCGTGGCCAGCAGCATCGGTGGAGGCGGCTTTGCTGCAGACGGTGGGGTTGTGCCGGGGAGGGGAGCTGCCCAGGCGTTCCTACCAGCGGTTGACACGACTCAGGTTATGGCGTAGAGGCTCCAAAACTGACTGTTCTCGGGCTGTAGTTGTGTAACCAGCGCTGCTGGTAACCAGCCTTTTTTCTGGTCAGCTCAGTGTGAGTCGTCATGTCGGTGTCTCCATTACAGAAATCCCCCTTTCTTTCCCCTTTCCATTGTTTAATAGGAAGTTGCCCTTAGTTTCAAGAGAGATGAGCACTAAAAGGAACTAGCACAGGATGAAGGCCTAGGCTGGCTTCCTGCTTTTCTGACTAAATTGGTGTTTATTCAAGCACTGGCTTTATCCACAACGTTGATCTCCTAAATTATGATGCATTTGTGTTTGTCGGCTGTAAGGATGTTCTTGTCTGTCAGTGGAGCGGAGGCGGTTTAGTGGGGCCATGGCGCTGGCTGTCCCTCCCAGCCGGCTGTATGAGGTGGCTGCATGCAAACAGCAGTGCTAAAAAAATGCCATTTTCTTCTAAATTCAAACAGTTCCCTGTTTACAATCTTTTGTTCGCCTGGTTTTGGTTGGAAAGAAATAACTAATTTGTGCATTCAGGCTGCAAAGAAAGAAGTAGAGGCAGGCTTGCCCCCGGCTGGGGCTGCCGTGGCAGGCCGGCATCGCGGCTCCGGTGCGGGGTTTTGCTTGTAGACGTCTTGAACATAAAAGGTTTCTTGCAGGTTAAGGTGCAAGGCTGATCCTCTGGTATGTGCAGTGCAGGCAGCAGTCCCGGGGCACGTCTGCCTGGGGCTGCAAAGGGGCATCGAAAGCGCAGTCAGCGGGGATGGGGAGACAGTGTCTGTGGTTCATGTGTTCTTTGAAAAATTGCTTCCACGGGCACATAAAGGCCATGGTATTTATTTAGGACAGAGGAGCTATTTTCTTCTCCTCCGTGCGGAATGTAATGGCAATGATGGCTTAATTACGAGCTGCTGTGCAGAGGGGCGTGCGAGCAGCAGTGATGAGCCTGCGGTCATGGGCGAAGCCCGGCTCCCTCGGCCCTGGTCCAGCGTGGAGGAACCGGCATAAATCCTCGTGTCAGCCTTCAGTGGTCACCTCTGTCTGTCTGTCTGTCATCAATCTGTCGGTACAGAGAAGCATTTACCACCTCTCCCTGGCTCTCGGTGGTGATGAGCTCTTTGGCTGTGCCGCCAGCGTCACAAGCAGCATGGCGCCGCTGCGAGCGCGTGTTATCTCCCCCTCACTGTGCTTTATGGAGCCCTTCCCTCGCAGGCCCTTATAGAAACATGTCTTTAGACATTGATTTTTTTTCTGCCTGAACCGAGTCTCTCGCTGTGCCAGCCGAGCCCTCCGTCAGCTGGCATCTGTGGAGGAATCGATGACAGATTTCTGCAGTGATCGCGCCTGGGTGGGCTGCAGGGCTCGTCTCTGCTCACCAGCCAAATTACAGCTCCTACCCCAGCGTATCCTGGTGCTTCGATGGTTCCCCCTCCTTAGAAGTAATTTATGGCACCAGCAGAAGGGTGAATCTGCAAGTTGGTTACATACATTTGTCACCCATTAATTCTGCAGGTGGGTGTACCTGCGGCCCGGGGTGCTTGGGTGCAGCGAGGGCTGAAGTTGCAGGGTGCTGAGCTGCCCTCGTGGGGCTCGCAGGGCTCACGGGGCCGGGGCCGTCTGCAGCTGCCACTTCGCACAAGGATGCTGTGAGCGAAACGCCTGTGAACCCGTGTCCCCATTTCTCCAGGGCTCTTGGGAAAAGATCCTGGGAAGGAGGGAGATAGGAAGAAGTAACTCCAGGAGAGGAAAATCTCTTAAATGCAGTGTTAGTGCCGGCTCAGCTCCTGCTTTAGGACTGTTTCGTTTCAGTGTATTTCTTAATTTGAATTGATTTGAGCTCACTGAAGGTTCCCCACAGGAGCTGCTGTAGGTGATTAGCAATATGCAAGTTGCCTGCGCTCGTACTGCTGGTGCTTTATATTGTTTTACACCGGTGACTCACAGACACTGTTTATGATTAAGTACATTCGCAGGGAAAATGTAATTGATTTGAATGGTTCCTGGCAATCAGCAACTGTCTGGTATTACATTATATCTCCCCCAGGTAAGTGGAATGCCTCTCCCGTCAAAATTACTGTTGTCATTGTGTAACCAAAAAATAAAAAAGCAAGCTTGGTGATGACATCCCTTGGTCTGAATAACTGCTGGCAGCTTGTTTACACACAGTCGCTTCAGTAGGCTTATCTGATTGCCGGGGCAGTGGAGAGGGTTTCAGGAGGGTTAGTCAGCGTTCCCTGCTCTCCTGCCTGCATTTGCAGTCACCCCACCTGAGATTTGGCTCATCTTCCACCTGAGATTATCCCTGAGGAAAAACATTCACCCGAAGCCATAAAAGTATCAAAGAAGGAAGCTTCAGGATATGGTGCTGATCTTCCAGTGTCTTCACTGATTAACACAAACTCGTGCTCCCTTCGGCGGTACCTCCAGATTAATGTGTGCCCTGCACGTGCAATGTTTCCGATGCACCTTGGGAGCAATGTGCAATTTGGAATCGTAATCAGCAAAACAGGGACTTTCTGAAGGTTCCTGGAACGACTGGTAAATTATGGTTTGCTCTATGTTGCCAGAGCGTCCGACACAGACCATTAAGCCCTGTGTGTAATCCAAAAAGTTAAATTGTTTCTGGAGTTTTAACAGGTTTCCAGGTCTCGGATCCAAATTGTTTGTTATACTTGCAATAACAGCAATAAACTCTGAGATGGTTTTTAAAGCTTCTCAGACATGTTCTCCTCGAGAAGGTCTCTGCGCATCAAGGTATCGCAGCCCTTGCGTTTGTCTTTATGGTGGCAGCTGCCACTGGGAACTGCTGCACTTTGGGTGATCTCCCATGGGTTGTGCTGACACCAGATCTTCTGGAAATGTGGGATGGTGTTGGGATGAGAGTAGGATTGGAGCTTAGGGAGGAGGGGATGACGGCTCCATTTTCCTGCCAGATGTTCCAACGCAGCAAACAGGAGCCCTGAAAAAGCCAAGCGGGAGCAACGTGCCCGGCTCTCGGCTGCTCAGCGCTACCCAAGGAACCAACAAAATGTCAAATTGCTACTTAATAAGATTTATCCATTAGTGATTGTCAGCCTTTTCTGTGTATGTTTGTGAATACGATACATTAAGGTAATGCACTATAAAATATATCCTGATTATATATAATTAAATGCATAAAATGATTTTTCTCCTATGGGTCTGGATGTTGCCATGACAGGCAAACCAAGAGTGCCTCCTGTGCAAAAAAAGATAAGGATGCTGTGTTGTATGCCTAGTTACTCAGCTGATTGCCATTTAACACCATATTTCTGATTTAAAAATTAAAAGCTAGCCAAAAGTAATACTGAAATATTACTACATCTGACAGTTGCAGCTGTCCATCCATTTTCTTTTCCAAAGCTTAAATTTTTATAGCTCTCTGGAAAAGGCCATTGTTCTGAAATGTTACAAAATTAAGAGATCGATTTACTGTCTTGATGGTGTTCCCTCCAGTTGAAGGATTGACCAGGTGAAATGTTAATGCAGCCAGTATTGATGACAAATAGGAGACTAGTTTATGCAGGGAATTACACAGACCCAAACACTAACCTCAGTAAACGGTAAGGACTAATACTAAAGTCAAAGCCCTCAGCACCTCGTCTTCGTTTTATTCTTTTCTGTAATTAGCAGAAATGTTTAGCGATGCTGGTGGCAGTGGTTTTAGCCGTTCCTCACGTAAGGCTTTGTACCACTGGCATTTTGAACATCACAGCAGCTTCTTATTCTCCAAGTTCCTTGTGTGAGTCCAGATGTAGATTGGTGCATGGGACTACACCAAGCTGTTGGCCGGAGCAGAGACCAGGGGGTGGATCTTTGTATGGCGTTACATCGCATCCCTCTGATTTGGGAAGGATACCTAACCTCTGGTTTTCACCTTCCTTGTAATAAAATGGGCATAATGGGGTAATTAATGCCAAGCACGAGGAGATCCTCCAGTGCATGCCGGGATGTGGGGAAGGAAGGAGGGCTCTGACGGAGGGGGCACCATCCCTGGCCCCACCAGTGCCTCCAGTGCAAGCGTGGGCAGCCTGGCAGCGGGGTGCAATTCCTCCGAAACCCATGGAAAGCGCACGTGCCTCATCCCTCTCCTTGCACAGAGCAGCCGTCGGTGCTGGGGAGACACCCCTGGTCCTCAGTGCTGGTGGTGGGGCCACGGGTCCGTCTCTCTGGAAGAGGTGCAGGATAAAGCATATAGCAGCACCTGGATGTGTTTCATTCAGAGGTTTCATTCAGCCTTTTAACAATCATCCGATATGAGGTGCCGCCGAGTCGTTGCGGTTTTGCAGACAGGGGAGAAGGTGGTGTGGAGCCGCGAAATTGCCGCTTGCATCAGGCTGAGCGAGTGCGCGAGGTATGGCTGTAAATGTGATTTATGAATCCTGGCTGCTCCTCTCCCACTCCGGCTATTAAACTGTCTCTCTCTCCCCGTTAATTGGACTCTGTGACTGGGAGAGCTATAACACAGGTTTGTGCAGTGAGGAGCGTCTCGGCTATTCTTGTTAAATTGAAAAATGAAACAAACCTGAGAAACTTTCCTGTGAAGAAGAGTGGGGGTTTTGTGCAAGCGATGTCTGAGCTGAGGGAGATGGAGTAGGAGGTTCTGGTCCAGCAGTGCTGGTTTCCTTTGCTGCTGAAAAGATCTGTGCCGTTTCTCGGTACACCATAACAGCAAAGTCACATCTACAGTGAGCTATTTATCTTACAGTTCTTGGGGTCTCTCCTTAGACCTTCAAAATCAGCATTTAAATGTAGCTGTTAATTGACTTTCCTCCATTGTGAGCGGCTAAGTTTAGCCTGTGTGCTTTGTGCCGCTCAGAGGTGGTAGAGAGAGCGGCTTTTAATAGCCCTGCCTCTGCATTGCTTCTGCTCCCCCTCTCCGGCTTTATCTCCGTGGAGATGCCGTAGCGGGCTTGGGACACTGAGGAGATTCGTGGTTGAAGACCATCCTGGAGAAACGCTGGTGTTTCTGCTTCATCGGGAGGCCGCGTCGTGCTGTTGTCACTGCGGCGTGCCGGCCAGAGCCGCGGCTCTCCATCCTGCCGCAGTGTGGGCTGCCGGCCGTGCCGCCGGGGCAGCGGGTGTTCCTCTGGGGAGCTCACTGCTTGAGGGGCGAAGGGCGCTCATGGAAGAGGTTGTGGCTTAACAAAAGAAGTTTATAATATAGCCAGAAGCGTATTTACTGAGCCCTGACAGTTGCAGTTGTGTCAGTGCCTGAAGTGCAGGCTGTAAACCCAAGGGCTCGAGTGCAGCAGGAGCACATCAGAGCCCGCGATGGGAAGGGCAGGCGTGAGGAGATCATAGAATCATAGAATCATTAAGGTTGGAAGAGACCTCCAAGACCATCGAGTCCAACCGTATGGATTGGTGGGGTGCGTGTGCTGCTGGGTGCAGGCTGCCTGTCCCCTGCCTCCTGCGCTGCCTGCACGTCTCCCTGCCTCCGCGAGCGCGGCCGGAGAGCGTGCGGCATGAGGGTGCAGTGCAGGCCATCTGCAGTGTGGGTATTTGGGCTGATTAGGCGTTTTAACTGAAATACAAAGTTGGTTATGATAAGTTGGAGTGTACAAGATCTCAGGTGCTGAAGCTTTTTAGTAAAATTGTTTCATAACGACGTTTCAGCTGCATTTAAAAATGTAACCTCCTTATAAGGTGAGGCTGGTTTTAGTCACTGAGTTCATAATTTAAGAGCATATATCTCTTCTCTTATTAAAGACCAAAAAAGGAAACGAAAACCTGGAAGTTTATTTTCAAGTGTGCTGTGGGAAATCATTGCATAAAATGCGATTCATAAATCAATACTTTTATCTTGATTCATTTATATATTTCATTATATTTCCCAAGTAGAATTTACTATTGAAAAGCAATTTGAAAGCAAGAGCATGTTAAAGCAGGCAGTGGCTGTGCTGGGTATGGGGAACGGAGCCCAGGGCAGGCAAGGTGCCCCTGGTACCAATTTCACCCCCTGTCCTGAGGATCCTGCCCCAGAGAAGCTGTATTTAGCACATAGAGCGAAGGGACAGGCACCTGAAGCATGTGCAGCTGTGTAATGTTTTAGCATGGTAAGCAATGCGCTACAAATAGCCCTTCTAACCAGGACCTGCGAGCTGGCCTGAGCGCCGGCGACTGTGCTGGGGAGGGCTGTTGGGGTGCTGGGAGGGCTGTTGGGGTGCTGAGAGGGATGTTGGGGTGCGGGGAGGGCTGTTGGGGTGTGGGGGATGGGGTGCAGCAGCCGCGTAGCGGCGGGCCACAAAACTGCTGTGGGGAGCCTGGGAAACAGCTGCTTTGGAGGTGGGGATGGCTGCGGGCAGGCGCGCGCGGGGTGAAAATGAGCAGTGCTGCATGCAGAAAGTGTGGCTTGGGCTGCTTCTCCCTCCGCTAATCCATAAGCCCAGGAGGAATGTGTGAATGAGCTCAGCAGAGCTCTCCAGGAAGGGCTGCAGTAGGACTCCATAATCCATCCATCTGTTTCACAGCGTGCCCAACTATGCACAGTCAGATTCAACTGCTCACTTGATCGGTGCCGGGGCCGGGGCCTGCCGTGCGCGCAGGAGCTTTGCTCAGTGATTCATCGCTGCTTCCTGCACCTCACCCCGTCTGCGGGCTTGGAAGCCAAACCTGAGCCTGGGCAGCGAGTCCCTACAAATAGAAAGGTTGGGGAGCGATGTCCTTAGCCGCGAGGTGTTTGATTCATTGAGAACGGTTCATTAGTTCCTCTCTGAGGGCCATAAGTACTGCCCTTTACACCTGTCTCTCCATGCTTTTGGGGAGAGATGTGACATTAAAATTTTTGGCTAACACATCTTGGCTCTTTAGCATTTATTTGTAGAAGTCAGCGTGGAGGGTTTATGCATGTGTGTGAGGATTTTGTTGTTGTTACATGAAACAAACCAATTAACTGCTGGCAGCCGCTCCCGCTAGCTGGCAGGCGGCATTTATGGCTTTCTGCAAGGCAAGGGCTGCCGGTGACCGGCGACGATGGCTGCGTGCTCCGGAGGAGTCACCCCGGTGCTGCGGCGGGCAGCGAGCTGCCTCTGAAATACGGTTTTCCTGTTGGCAACCCCTGGCAGTGCCGGTCAGCTGTCCGGCAGGCACAGGTAGAGCAGGGAAAGACACTGAGGGATGGTGTCTAATATACTCTAGTGAAGGGAGACCTTGAGAGAGCTGGTCTTGAGGCAACACTGCTGTTGTCTGAGCCTGGGGTTCCAGAAAAGAAACGATAAATAACCAAATATCAACAGAAAACAAAACTGCTGCTCTTTAGGTTCGTGCAGTTTTAAAATTCCGTCCCCTTGAGAAAAATGTGATTACTCAGTTTTCTGACAGCTGTGGCTTGAAGTCGCGAACACTTTCCCAAGCTGGTCAGCATCAGTGGGTGCGAGGGTGCCGAGGGCTGCGCTGCGGGGAAGCGTGCGAGGGGACATGCCGATTTGTCTTGCCTGGGGCACTCTCACCATCATCTGCTGGGGCACCACGCACCCTCGAAAATTCAGCAGAGTGCCAGAGTATTGGGGTTCTTCACATCTTGCAACATGCATCTTGGGTGAAGAATAGAGAAAAGGAGTGCAGACAGGGTGGGAATGTGGAATTTAGGGAATTGTACCCAAAATGTTGCCTTGTTGAATGCATGTCTTCCTTAGACGCTGCTCTGCAGAGTGGTCACAGAGCAGTGCAGACCAGGCAGGTAGGCAGCTGTTCTGTTCGAAGGGGTGATGCCAAAGAACAACTTGTTTATTATTTTTAACAGATATTTAACACGGTGCCAGAGACTCCGCCATCGAACTCGCAGCTGCTGTTATCTCGCAAGAAGAGCACAGACTCGAAGCCTCCCTCCTGCAGCGAGAGACCACTGACGCTCTACCACACGGCACAGCCCCCACGTACGCTCTGCCACAGGGCACAGCCCAACGAGAAGCGTAAGTGGGCGGAGCCGCAGCTCCCGGCTTTCCCACTTGATAAAGTTTTTGCCCTAATCACGACTAACAGATTGTAATTCCCATGCCACAAAATGCAGTTTTACTGGTGTCAATGGAAGAGACGATTCCTGTAACAGGATCAGGCTTCAGTTTCCTCTGCTGTCACATTGATGGGGAGTGTGAAGATTGTCTGGCATCCAAGCCCTTAAACAGGGGCTTGAAACGAGGCTGCATTAGCACAGTATAAAGTGTTGCCGTCCCTTCCCCACCTGATGGGCCCCTGTGCATTCCCGTTCTCACGTTCCCCAACCCGCGTCCTCGCCGTCATCAGCTACTGAGATGCGCTCCTGCGAACGGGGCACAACACATGTGGCCAGGGTGGACACCCGTCTGCGTCTCCGAAAGGCGACCCTTTTTGGATGCCCGCAGGCACTTTGCCTTTTACAGACACGAAAACTCGGCCAGGAGGTTCTGCATTTTTCTGAGGATTGTGTACCATGGCAGTTTAAAAATGTTGAAGATCATCTTTCCATTTCTGTCACTAATTGATACTCCACATATTTAGGTGAAAGAGTCAGTGCCCCATCCCTACTCATGGAGTGGCAGAAATGTGTCTGCTCAGGCTGTTGCTTCACGTTACAGCGTAAGCCCAGTTCCCAGATCTCCTGTTCCTCCTGGCCATGCGCTCCCAACCCTTGCCTCAGGCTGCTTCTGGAGCTGGCCAGTTGCACAGGGAACCGTCCCAGTTTGCTAAAAAAGCAGGAGAGTAACCTGGTGAGCAGAACAAGTGCTTGGGGGCTCGGCTTGCTTTGCTTGGGCAGGTGGGTGAGCGTGGGGAGCGAGGAGCAGGGGAAGGCTGGAGTTAACCCGTCTCCCCAGGGCTTAAAACTGCGGGGTGGACGGAGTGGTTGCTGTGTACTTTGCTGACTCTCAAAACACGTGGGCTTGTCTGCCTCTGATTGAGTTACCATTAATTATCAGGCACTCTCATTTTGGAGGATGTCATAACAATACACGTGGGTTTACGGAAGCAGTGGTAGCACCAAAGCGTGCTCTGGAAATAGGGTATCACGACTCTCAATGGAGCCTCAAATATCAAAAGCTGCTTTTGAAAAATTTCAGCCTAAGTAATTTATTTGCTGCTAACTAAGCAGTTGCTTGTTAGACTCTAGAGTCGCCCTGCTGCCGGAGCCTTCATGTACCGTCCTCCCCTTGCCTAGAAGAGGAACTGAGTTCATTTATTTATTTCTGCATTTATTTATTCCCACGTGAAGTAATGTTTTCTCAATTTTCCTCCTGACAGTCCGTAATCTCCTGTGAATACGGAAAGCCACTACCATTTATTCAGTGTTTGCCGTCCCTGCTGCACATGTCAGTTGAGGAATAATGTGAGGTTTCCTTTCTTACCGGTCCGGAGACGGGCCAAGGCTCTAAGTCAGGTTGAAGCGTGAGAGCTCAGACAGCAGCTCAAGCCGAGCGGAGTGCCACGTCTGCATCATGTCCTGAGCTGTGACACAGAAATAGCTCCGCTGTGACACAGAAACAGCTGGCACCTTCAGCAGCCTCCCCATCGCAGAGCGCTGGCTGCACCCGGGTTTGGTGGAAGCGTCTCTTTCCTTTGCAGGTGGCTGTGGCGGGGGTGAGGGACAGGGAGCCCCTGAAGTATGTGGTCACTTCGGTGCTCATGCCTCAAAATATTGACTGGAAGAGGTAAAGATGGCTCAGAGGAGCCCCAGGCACAATGGGAACACCGAAGGCATGCTGCAGGAGTGATTCGTCTATGAAACAAAGACATAATAAGATCTAATAGCTGGAAATTGAAGCTAGACACATTCCAAATGGAAACAGAGTGCATATTTTTTAAGACTGAGAGCAATTTAATGATAAAAAGAAGTTAAACGGGACGGTGAATTTTCCATTACTTGAAATCTGTTCACCGAAGTCAAATATCTTTCTAAAATTTTCACTAAAATTCATCATACAAAGCTGTGTGTAAGTCAAAAATTGTAATGTTCAACAGACAGGATCATGCAAGAGAGCAGATTAGATAATTATAATGATTATTTTGGTGTTAAACATTCACGTTTTTGTGCACAACTGACCCAGGAACTGAGTGGATATCGTGAAACAAGTGTGGTTAACACAGCAAATACACCATTTTGTTCCTTATCAGTTCCTCATTATAAACAGTGTCTTGGCACTTTGCTCATATTTTGTTACGCAGAGTGCTTTTGTCATCACTTCTGTGGTCCCTGTGGGTAACTTGTCAAAGTGCCCTAGATCAGGTTATCGGCTAGAAGCTGCTGCTCTGCTATCTGGCAAGGTGTTGCATTTGCTGGAGGAGAGCCCGGAGAAGCTGGAGGCTTTGGCTCTGCTTGACTTACTTTCCATTAAGATTCACAAGGGTTTGGGTAAGTGGTGAAAACTCAACCTTGCTTTGACGTGTTGCTGGTTCTCAGGCTGGAAGAGAGGGAACTGAGGCTGGCTGAGCAGTTCAGCAACGGGAGAGTTTGTTGTTTAGCGAAGGGAGGTCTGCAAAAAATGTCTGAGTCCAGCTCTCCCTTAAGCCCCTGCTTTCCAGAAAGGTAGTTTTGGGGCTCTCGGAGAGAAGTTGCTGGTTTGGTTTATTCACGGTAGCTCTCTCGGCAGCGGTAGCTGGGCCATGGTGCCAGCAGGGAGGAGTTGCAGCCAGGAGCCGGGGCTGGTGGCAGGGGCCGGAGCTGTGCTGCGAGGGGGGTGTCGGTGGTCTGCAACGAGAGCGGGGCCAGTTGTGACCCCCCTCGCAACCGGCTCTGCCGGCAGTTCGCAAAGTGTCTCTCCTGCCTTCTGCGTGACGGAGAAGAAACATGCTTTAGCTGATGGGTGGTTCGGTTCTTGTAGCTGTAAGACCAAATTAAATCTCACAGCAAAGAATCCTTCACATAAGCTTTTAAAAACATGAAGCAAAATACAGTATCAGCCTTTTAAAAAGGAGGAAATAAAATAAAGCAAGAGTTTCAGATTCTGCCATTCATCTCCCTTCCTCTTTAGATGAAACACTTCCAGTTTCTTGGCTGACAGGGACTTTAATTCAATATTGGCTGGTAGCTAGCTCTGAGATTAGGCAGACAATTGACACTGATTTGTTAGGCTTACGGAGCTTATTTTCGGACTTCAGCCTTGGGCAGAAAATGTTTGGAGATAATACGACGTAGTGTTAGACCACACTCCAGCGGCTCAGGTCCGCACTCCTCACAGCCTCCAGTACGGCCGTTCAGTCCGGTGGGGCTCAGCCTGGGCAGTCCCTGGGGTTGGCCACCTTTATACGCTACGGAGGTGTCTGTCACAGCACTGTTTAAAACCTGTACTGGCAGATGCAAAAATAGAGGAGTGATTTGGATTGGCCTTTTGGGGTTTTTAGGTCCGCAGGCAGCTTAATTTCTCTCTTATTTCATCTGCTGGCTCCCGCGTCTGCCTGTCAATATTTGTGGAGGTCAGCACTCTGCTTTTCTTCACTTTTGCGTCTTCTTGTCTTCTGCACGGATAATATTTTTCATCACAAAGTGCTTATGCCTTCTGAGTCCCAGGTGGGCTTTTGCGAGACCATAGCTTCGTATCAGAGGACCTGTCTCTCTGGGGAAATCACTCTTCTTTATGAGCTTTCCTGACTTGGTTTAGGGAAAGCATGGCTTATCGTTTGAGTCGCTGTATGGCTCAAAGCTGACGAGATTGTTTGTGTTTTCCTTTTGGCATGTCAGACGGTGGCGAGTTGGAAACCATGGCTGGGCAAAAAATCCAACTCATTGGTACATTGGAGGCACAAAGGAGGGGACAGAGAAGTGTATGTGCTGCTTGTTCCCTTGGTGGCTTATTGGAGATCAAGATTAATGAAATGCAATTTCAGGAACGTGTTGACATGTATCAACATCATTAACACATCCTTGGCTTTGGCTGATCTCTGGAAGATAAGATCAACCTGAGCTAAACCAAGTTTTATTCCTGTCTCGCTGCCATGCGGGCACTCTGAATTTGTCCAGGTACCAGGAAAATGCAGCAACTCCAGTGAAGGAGTGCGACGAGGAGCGTTAGACTCTGCTCTTCCCCCTGGCATCCACAAACCTTTTGCTAGTGTAGGCTTTTCTCTTTGAAGCAGTGGCAAAGAGTTGTCACATGCTCCTCTGCGCCTGAGACAGCACTGCTGCCAAGCTATTTTATGGAAATGTAGGCGGTTTCTTTCTGCTGTATATTTGGGATTAACTTTTCGTGTATCCCAGGAGTTCCTTATGCTGTTTTATCCTTCTTTAAATTTGAACAGGATGCGGATGAGTATTACATGTTCTTCTAACACAAGCAGAGGTGTACAATTTAAAGGGATTGAGAATAAGGGATTCCATATTACCATGTGCTTTTTAGTAGTAATTTGATCATACTAGTGTGCACTGGAAAAATAATTTTTGAAAGGTTTGTCACTGAAGTAGGACTCATGATTTCCAGCAGGTGCCTATCTTTCAGGAAAACATGATCACAGAAGCAGCAGTTCTCTGCACTAGGACTGCTTTCCATGCCATCAGTGATGATAATTGCTTCTCACAATTACAATTAGTGCTTATACGGAAAAGGCATCTTATGAAAATGAATTAATGTGATTTTAGGTAATTTGGCGTAGAGCTGAGGAGGGAGCCCATGCTGTGGATGTCGGTTTGGGATGCATAATATTTTCACTCCTCACTGCTGAAGTTACACAAATAAGGGGGAAATCTCTTAACAGAATATGATCAAGGGAAACAAGGAACTCTAAGAAACCTCCAGACTGTCGGCAGAGCGGTGCCAGTGTTTCCCTGACGCAGTACGGCCGGCACTACGGCAGGAGCGGGCATGAGGCACTACTTCGGATCAGCTATGAAACTGAGTTTCTGACCCACAGCTGCTCTGTATTTCAGAAGAGCTAAGATGAAACGGAGTGGAGACCCTGTCCCCTTTCTCCTCTGCTGCTTTTGGATTGTAGACCTGGCCGGAAAAGATCGATAGTAGTTGAAGTCAAGTCCTAGCTGAAGCATTTTTTTGCTGACATAAACTTTAGCTGGGTGATCCGTCCTTTTCTTGTTCTAAAATGTTATCCTGCTCAGTCACACAAATGCTCAATCCCTTGGCAGCTGATTTCAGTCACAGAGAAATCCATTCCTGTATGTAGTTTGCATTTTAATTTTTTTCAGGTTGTGTGGTACTTCGGATGTCTTTGGGAATATAAAATATTAATGCCTTGAGAAAAATGAATATTTTCTTACTAAAAATGGTATTCATTTAAAATGTAGCTGCATCTTAAGGAAAGGAAAAAAAATAGAGTACCTGCTATTTCTTATAGTTTAATGTATAATATCTAGAAAACATGACTGTAAACTGCCTGTCTTCTGGGGTCCGGTAAGATGCTGCCCTATTTGTGTTAGGGCAGGGATTATTACCAGGAATGCTCGATGCCTTTGCAGCAGTATGCTCTTTATTTTTGTACGCAATGGCAGCTGTGTGTGATGGCTGACGATTCTTGGTTTTTGATTTTTTTTAGAGGAGAACAGGAACAGTATCATCAACTCCAGCCTGGAATCCGTCATCTCATCAAACGTAAACAGCTTCCTCAACTCCAACAGCGCTCCCCAGCCCAGCCTGAACTCAAGTGATCTTGAACTAGAAGTAATTAAACCCAACAGGCCAAATTCACTGTAAGTACAGTGGTAATTAGTGTTTTATAGGCTCTCCGTCCTTAATCTTTAATCAGGGCTGTTTCTTACTCTGAATCCCAGCAATTTGTTGAAGAATACAATTTAACATTTTAATTTTTAATGGGTGCCTAGCGTATGCCCTGCATTTTTAACTCGGTCTAAGCGGCGGAATTAGTTACTGGGGGTTATATCTGCCGGTGAGTTTCAGCTCTGATTATTTTGCACATGTGGAATATTTTTCAAGCAGAACTCCACATTGCTGCTTGAACTGCTCGACCCATCTGGTGATAACTCCAGCAAACACAAAGGACTTTTCTTCTGAGTTAAATTCTATGACTGTTGTCAGTACAGTTGATCTCCGGCCAAATCTGTGCCATTGCTTCTGCTATTGCTTCCTTCATCTGGAAAGTTCAAGGGAAAAAATAGCGACCTTAGCAATGACTCCCTGGGGACGGCAGAGTTATTTATGAAGTCCCCTGAACTTGACACAGCTGAGCCCTCGCGCCGATGGCCGTCTCTGCTGGGGGAATTTCCTTCCTGCCACGGCTCTGCTGGGCCTGATAGCATTTTCCCACAGAACCTCCCCTCCTCATACATGTGAATGTCTGCTCAGATCTTCAAGAGCCATTGCAGTCCTTGCAAGCTGAAGCCAATTTTCCCCCCCGTGCTCCTCGGCACGCCCCTGCCTGTCCCCGCGGATCGGCTGGGGGGAATGCTGCACCCTCCATGGCAGTTTATGGCCTTGCCGTATGTGGCGACCTTCTCAATTAAGGAAGACCTTCCTTCCCACCCCTCTGGTCCTCCCACAGGCTCCAAACACTTCCAGTTCCCACTCAACCGTAGAAGTCCCCAGTCTCTTGAGAGCAGACAGTGACATTTTTGCTTTAGCTGCTTTCTTCTGGTTATCAGTGGAATGATTGCTAAGGACTCGAAAAGGATAAGTGCCAGGGTGGGTACTGGTAGAGATGGTGAAGCTTGTTGCTGTTGGCTTGGTTGACAGCAAAGGTTGGGATTTGGGGGGTCTGGGGTGCAGCCCTCGCTGCCAGCGTGTGGAGACGGCTCAGGCCCCTGCCTGCAGTGGTTTGCACAGGCAGAAAGGTAAGTCCACAGCGGGCGGCCGGCGCTACTGCCTGCGTGAACGTGTGTGTGAACAGAGGACAGGCTCTGGCTTTCATCCATCCGCTCTGCTTCTCTCCTCACCATTACTGCCACTAAAACCGTGAGCTGCATGATTACCAAACCAGCCCGGCCTCTTGCCGGCCTCGCCTGGCGTTGGCTCCGGGAGCGGGGTTTGTAAGGCTCAGCTCCGTGCCTTGCCTGCTGTCTGTGGATTTACCTACTGCGAGGAAGCTGTCTGCAAGGAGCGTTGTGGTGGCAGAATAGAGCATCCAGAAGGTAGGATGCCTCTAAATTAAGGTTGCGCGTTACGTGTGTTATGTACTGAGTAAAGATGCGTAGATATCTCATGCCTGTACTGTCGGTTGAAGCTCTGGAAGTCAGTCACATACCATTCCCCCAACATGTTGTTTTTAGTTTATTTATCCTTCGAGGGGAAAAAAATGATGTGACATAATACAGCAAGGTTTGTGAGCCTGAGTCTTGCTGTGACCTTACGGGAATTGTTTGCCAAATTAACAGTTTTTCAGATTCCAAGAGTTGCCTCTTCTAATAATTTCTTTTTTAAAGGAAATCGTAAAGAAGTTCAGCAGAACAAATCAGTTAAAGCTGTGTGGGGCTTTGGGGAATGGAGGCATCTTGCTGTTACCGAGGAATTAAGTGAGCAGACCGGCAGTGGAACCGTTTGCTTGCCACCAGTTAAGGGGCCTTTACAATTCTGCGAAGTGAAATAGTGATTAGCAGGGTAGCACCGGCAGCTCTTATGGCTCTGACAGTGTTTGGCATTTGGTGCTTTTCCTCAAATCCAGTGGTTATGTGATAATTTTTACACACGCAGGAATACACAAGTTCTCAGTCAATGTTGAGCTGAAGGTTGAAAAGTGAGTCTTAAGGTGAATAATACCACAAGGCAAATATTTTCTTCTCTATAACACCAAATATGTAAATCAAATATCTTTAATCCAATCTTTCAATGAGAAATTAAGTGTCTGACTTCATTTTATTCTTTTTAAACAGTAGGTATAGATGTATAGATAGTAGGTAAGATGTCACAGATGTCTCTGTGCCCGCTTACCCATGAGCACAAGTCTGTGCCCATGATTTGGCAGGTCCATGGCGTTTTGCCCTCGGTGGTCAGCACTCTGTCGGGGTGTTGGTTTGCAGTGGCGAGGATGAGGAGGGCGAGGAGGGCTGCCAGCAGTGGGTCTATCCCCCAGCCCTGCCCCATGGCTGTTTACAGGCTGCAGTCTGGGTCAGGGCAGGGTGTCTGAATGGTGCCAGTATCCCGGCGGCTTTGTCGTTGCTGCTCTGCGGGACTACCCAAATCATATCTGTACAAAGCCGCTTCTGTTTTTTTAACCAGCTGAGTAATTTGGGCTTTGCATGAAGCCCTGGGCAGCTACGGACACTGCAGTCAGTCTGTAGTATCTGTTACTGCCATGCAAGGGGTTCTGGTGCTCCCCTGTAATTACCGGGCCCACAATTAGGGTATACGGCAGCGGGGAAGGTCTCAGGGTGCCCTGCCCTTTGCGCTCCTTCAAATACTCTGCCAAATTCTCTGCCAGTCCTGTGAGACCCATCTTTGAGCTCTGCTTCAGGACTTCAGGGGTTTTTTTATGCATTCTTCACCATTTTCTGTAATATTTCATCCATGGACCAGGGCCATCCTGTTTGAGGACCCGTTCAGGAGGGGCTGGCTTTCCTGGCAGCCTGCCCGTGAGCTGATCAGCTGCCTGAGCTGGGAGCCAGCGCTCGCCAAAATTCAAACCCTGCAGCTGAGGAGCTGTAAAATTCCAGGTGTGTGGAGGCCAGGAAGTCCTGCTTTCCTCCTTGAAAGAAAAAGGGATTTCTTTCTGAACAAGAAACTCTTTAAGAGAACAAGTACAAAAGAATCCTGGATTCGGTGTTTCCTTCCCTTCGAGAAAGGGCCCTCTGCTTCCCTAACGGGACAACAGCAAAGGTTAGTAAATTAAAAACTACTCCAGACCAGAATTTGACCTACTCCTTATTTTCTGCTAAATGCATCACTGAAAAAAACAGGCTGATGGAGACTTCCACACAGGGGAAATGCCTTCATTAATTAGGGCCTTTTCCTGCTTTATTCCGAGGTTTGGTGCCTTTAGGTGTTGGTGTATCTCGCCCTTCGCCCCTGTGGGCAGGGTGGGCATGGTGAGCCCAGTGTCCTGTCCAGCCTCCCTGTCCCACCAGGGCCCAGTCTCAGCTGAAGCTCTCCTGAGATGGGTGCCCACCTAGGGAGGGCGATGGGCAGAGCGGGCACACGATGAGCCTTTCGGCATTAATGTGGCTTTGAAATCTTTGCTTATGTTGTCTCGTGGCATCAGTGGGTTGCCCATCAGTGGCTTTGTGTCACCTTCTCACACGTGCTGCGAAGCGGGCAGAGCGTGACACCTGCGAAGGGGAAAACACATTTTTTTCTGCTGGTCGCAAGGTACCGAACTCTGGTCAGTGCTCAGGGAAAGCTGCGACGTTGTGTTGCCCCAAAGTGATGTCCACCTTGGAGCTGCTCTCCAGCCCAGCCAACGGCAGGGACAGCGGTGTGCCTGAGACCGTCAAACATTTCCATCATTAGTTGCCTCCTCCCCACAGGCTGCAGCTGGATTCAGTGCTTCCACTTCATCCCTTAAGTCTCGGTAGAGCCCAAGTGGGGTGTCCCCACATGTGACGTTTCACGTTGGGCATGGTGGCTCCTGACTGCATGGGAGCTGTAGCACAGCTACTCACCCTCTGCAGAAGTGCTTTGGGAAACTGCAGGGAAAGGAGTTGGATCATTTTGATGTTCTTGCTTCTTATTAAGCTGAAAACTGATGTTCCTGTGGAAATAAGTCCTGTTGATCTCAGTGGGAGACTTGTTGGAGTACAAATGTTAAGGACTGCAAGTCTGGGGGATTTCTGTTTTCCTTTTGCTGTAGTGAGCACCGATGCATTCAAAGGTTGCCTTTAAATGTGCAATGCTAAAAATTGTGAACACTATCTGTGAAATTAGAGATGTTTGTTTGAGCTTTTGTTTACAAAAGCCTCTTGGCTCCCTTCTAAATGCCCATGTATCCCCCAGGTCTGCCCCATGGGGAGCTGAGCCGGTTCATAAATCCACCTCGTGAATTCCCCAGCCTCTGGGGGCGATGAGCGTTACAGCAGCGACCGCGCTGGGGCCGAGGTCTCCCTGCCTCAGTGCCGTTACCCCCGTCCTCCTCCCAAGGGGAACGCTGTCGTTCTCAGACTTGTCTTCCCTCGAGCGTGGTCCTCCTTCACCAACCGGGAGGGAAATTGTTTTGCTGCAGGGCAAAGGCTCTTCCTTCCCAGCCACCAATCAAGGTTTTACTAGGGGAATGCATTTATTTATTAGGGCTGGTTTTATTTTTATGGAAAAACTGCTCTGGGTGGGAGTTGTACTCGGTGAGTCAGCAGGACTGCTGTCCCATGCCAGGAGCTGTCGCTGCAGTGGCAGGGCACGGAGCGCCCGGAGCTGGCTGCCGGGGCCACCAAAGCCCCAGAGAGGGGGATTTGTTTTTAAAGAAGCGTTGGGTTTCTTTATCTTGCCCTTGCAGAAAGCGTCTTCCTTAGAAAACATGGCAAAACAGGAACCAAAAGTGCTGTGTTTCTAGCATAGATACATACTTCAGCTGAAATGGGGGAAGTTTTCAAACTAAATTGTGTGATCATGAAAAGCAAAAGATTTAAGATTGCGGTTTTAAAATCCTTTAAAAAAACCCACCTTGCTGTGGTAGCTTTGCAATGCATACCTGTGAAGCCTCTGATGTGGGGTGTATCACTGCGGACAACCAACACCTTGGTTGGAGCCTGCTTTGTATTTTTTTGTTCTCTGTTTTATTTATTTATTAGTCTCATCTGTGTCCCCTGTATTA